AACGCAATGGCTGGTAAGCCTTTGGTTTCAAAGCGACAAACAACAAGTACCCTCGATTTTGATTAAACAACGCCAATACCTGAGTCATACTAAAAACCTGGTACCAAAACGGTGAACACAAAACCATGTAAAGAGTGATCAAGGTGGCTGCACCTATTTATGGTTGGGCCTATCCCGTACTCACCTTCATCTACCCGGGTTTTGATTGTGCTTCACCAAGGGATCGAGTGATTCAATCCATTTGCCGAAACCGGTGCTTGCCGGCAGCCAAGTTGGACATGTAACAACTTGGTCGAAAAGGTCTGGGTACTCTACCAAAAATGGCCCAGTTGGGACCCAAGAATCAAAGGTCAATACTTGGGAGCCACTAAAATTGATATCAAAAGGGAACCAAAAGGTGAGATAAAGTCGATTCTGACCCTTTCTTTGGCCTGGAGTCTTGTTAGAACTTGATTAGTAAACCGCCTCTGACTAAATAAGCCCTCTGTTTTCCCCAGCCGACTGCCAGCCACTACTCCTTTCAAAGGCGCCCACAAGGTTCTGGCCTCATCACTTTACCACGATCAAAGTCACCCCCTAAGTGGTGGGTTAAAGGGAACAACCCCATTTTACTCAGATGCCCAGTGGCCAGGGGGAAACAAGGGCATCCTTTTTCTGGTTGGTTGAGTTTAAAGGAAACCCTTCCAAACAAAGGAAGGAAAAAGGGCACCACTGGGCAACTGGGTTTCTGACTTTGATAACTCCCAGAAACCGTCAACATAGTGACCCAAGAGGTTTGGTCGAGAAAAACGAACCTCTCCTTTCTTTCGGGGCATCTCCCTGAACCTCCTCTGACTAAAGACCGCCCCTTTCCGGGGCCCAAACAAATCAGAAACAAAGAACTGAAAACCAGAAACTTTACGAGCACCTCTTAATGGGCACCTCCCAATACCCCCTCTAAGTACGTCCCTTTCCGGCCCATTGTTGGTTTATTCAAAACATCACGTGTGTTAAATTCCAAAGCTATTGCCAATGCTCTCTTGCCAATACTCACTCCTTTCATAGTCAGGGCTGACACTCTGGAAATCAAAACCGGCTACCCCGGCTCGGTGGGTTGACAAGCTCGCAAGGATCCCCCCCTTGAAGGCTAGGCCCCCCCGGAATAACATGAAACGCCTTCTGATTCATCAAGTCCCTCTCCAGCGCTGGAAAACGGAAAATGCAATGTCCTTTTACTTTACTATTGAAGTCACATTGGCAAGACAGGGGACCGGAGAGGACTGGCCAGGTCCGGATGTATCCGAGGGAGTTTCAGGGGACAGAATCCGGCTTGCCCAAACATTGTCGACCTTGAAGAGAGACAGCGGGAGGGTTTTCTGGGGCGAACCTGGTTCTTTATTGGGCACATGCGCAACACAAGCACTAAACACGAATACAACGGCAGGAACCAAGAAAGCAAACCGCAAAGCACAACAATAGAACAGTGAATGCAGAGTCTAACCTTGACTCATGCACGGGGCGATAACCAAGTTTTGAGAGCCTCACGAAAATGGTCGACTGCCACTTCCCCAAAGTGAAGCTTGAAGGCCCAAATCCCTCGCTTTGTGGGTACAGGCCTTGCCACCCTTTACAAAACAGGACAATGGCAAAGCTTTGGCAATCTACCTTTCAGGATTTAAAACTTGCTGGTGCTCAGCAGGGAATGAGGGAATGACCCTTATAAGCCATCCCTTGTAGCTTCCTTCAAGGGAACTCCTGGGTTCATCTGCTTCCCTTCTGAGCACCAGCAAGATAAGGGTAACTGGGATCCACTCCAACCGCGAACGGTGGATCCTTTTGCCACCGAAGGGGACCGATTCGTTTCGTGGCTTCCCCACATGGCCATGCCTGCCCTAGGGTTCTGATTCGCCCCCATGAAAAGAATGGCCCAAAAGGGGACCCAGTTTGGATGATGAAACTCCTGAATGGTACATAATGGTGTTGATGTTGACTCCCTTTGTTTCAACGCTGGTTTTGGGCCCCCCGGTTTACATTGCTCGCTCAAAACAGCTAGGATGATGACCGCCCCTACCCCAAAACCCACAGCGGCCAAGGAAGAAAGGGGCACTCTTCTGGTGGTAGCTGTGTCTTTTGTGTTGTTCGGTTTTTCTTCGGGTTCTCCCAAGAAAAAGACATCGCCCTGAGTGATAAGTCAACTGGTCCTCACTTCCCGGACTGGCCCAAAATGGTCCAAGCCCAATACTCAGATGCCGCAAGTGGATTTCCATGCAAAAAAATGGCAGCCTTGTTTGGTTGAGTTTAAACGGGAATTCTTCAAAAAAAAAAAAGGAACAAAAGGGCGGAATCCACCGGGCAACTGGGCATAAGTGACTCAAGTCTAGAAACTTGATCGGGAGTGAGTACCCCTGCTTTGGCAAGCTGACTTTAAAAGGAACCCCGCCCCTTCCAAAAAGGAATCAAACAGTGAGGGTCTTTCGACACGATCATCTGAGTCAGAATCAAAACCTGGCACAAAAATGGTGAAACCAGAACCTGCAAAGAATTGAAAGGCGGATATCCGCACTTATGGCTGGGATTGTCCCTTACCACCCTCTGTTGCTTTCTGCTCCCCTTCTAAAAGTTTAACTTTTAGTGGTTGAATGGAACACCCATTAGTTGGCAAAAAGTTAAAGTCCTAACATCCAAGCAAAAAGCACCAAAGTACCTACCCTCCAATTGTGACTCATCTCCGATTCCGAAGACCTCCATCCTGCCTTGTGCTCGATCACGAAGGCGCTGAGATCCGTGGGATGGTCGTGGACAGCACCTGTCGCGCGGAAGTTAGGGACTGAGCAAAAGCCACGGTCTCCATTTTGCACCGCTTTGAAACCATGGGAAACTATTCTTCGTTGGTATATTTACAAGGGATTCATCCTTCCAGAGTTTCATGTATACCTGGAGTCTCCATAAGGACCCTTTAAAACATGCTTGGTCATTTCCCAAAATAAAGGGGTCATGGACCCATTTTTACAGGGGCAGAAGGAGACTCCAGGTAGTCAACTGGTCCCAGCTTGGGTGGAAGATCTCACGAAAAATAAGGTTACTTCACAACCCTTGGCAATGTTGACCCAGGATTAATAAACCCGTCCCATTATTAGGGGGGTGAAAACCCCTCCAAAAGTGGTCTGAATCCAACCACTAAAAGGAATTGGACACCCCCCGATCAAACTCAACCAGGGCTTCTGCTTGATCCGGGGTTAACATTATGGTAGCAACACACTTTGGTCCAATTTCGGGGGTTTCCGAGCCATTTCCCTTTCAAAGGGAACCTCCAAAAGCCGATTTGGATCAATCGAAACCACCAGTCAACTAATCAACTTTTGATTTAGGGAAGTCCAATGACCCCTGAGTTTTGCTGGGAAGATCTCGGAAAGTTCTCAGAAAAAGATGGTTACAACCCTCCTGTTGACTCGTTGCTCACAACCCTTCTGTCTGGCGAACAGTTTTTTTTCAAATCAGCCCTCCCACGTGAAGCTAGCTGAATCCCCTGCTGAAAGTTCTGGACTTCTAGTGGGATCATCGCTTGCCCTTGCAAGGCAACCTGAAAAGGGTACCCTTACAAACTCAGGCCCATTTACACTGTTACACCAGCCTGTGTTTGTTCTGTTGTGGGAGGACGAGAAGCACTGGGAATTCATATGACCCAACGTCCGAAACAACCAAGGATTTATGCCCACAACGGGCTTTTGCCAAAAGGCAGCCTTTTGACATTGCCCACAAACATTGGTCTCTCGTCTGGTTCCCTTTAACATCCTTTCACTCACCCCAGCCGCTGCCCCATGGAGAAAACTAGAATACACTACAGCCTGTGCTTGCCCGAAGGGCGACAAGAAACAAGCCCAGCTCCTCAAGATGGCCACTCCGATTTTCCACCATGGACCATCCCCATGGGACAACAACTACAAAATTTGGGCTGCCGGACCGCAACCCAAGCTCCGGATCTTGCGGAGATCCCTGGTCTGGACACTCCGATTCACACCCTTGTTTTGCTCTGAGTTCCTGAGCCGCTGCACATTTCGCGCGGCCGACTACGGAGTAATGTACACATCAAGAGACTGAGCGCAAGACTCTTCGGAAGGGTTGGGCCACTGTGGATGGACAAAACCCATTTCGCACCACCGATTTAAGAAACCCTCGAATGGTATGATTCCCCGGTAAATACCAACAGACAATGGTTTTCTATGGCTTCTAAGGTGGTGCGAAAGGATTTCGCAACCATCCACAGTATTAGTGCGCGAAAAAACACAGCGCAACTTTCAGCACCCTCCCTGGAGGTTCTCTTTGAAAGGAATTCACATCATCCCGGGCACCAGAAAATGCTGCCTTCGATCGACTCGGCAATTCGACATCCTCCGCGGATTTCCCTTTCAACGGCAAACCATGGGAACTGTTTGACTTCTGCCCAACCCTGCTTGGAAGCCTTCACTGGCGTTCGTGGTTGATCGAACCACTCGTTAGCAAGACCTACCTGTCGCGAAACATCGGAGCGGGATGATAACATCCAAACCTGCAAGCCTGGAGGTGCTTGTTCATACAAGCACACCTACAAAAGCTTGGCTGTTCAACCAGACCCCTTGCCAAAGGTTTAACTTTTGGTGGTGTGGAAGCCACCACTGAACCAACTAAAAGCAACGAAAACCCAAGGAACCGGATGGCTGGGCTTGCCACGTACAAACAAAAGAAAGCCGGGTTTCCTTGGACCATGGGTAGGATCCAACCCCCCCCCCCCTCCCCCCACCCCCATCCCATACCCCGAAACCCGAAGTTCTAAGCCTCCGCACCAGGCCTCTAGGTTGTTTTTGGTCACAAACCTAACCAATTTCCCAAAAACTGATGATGAAATGGGTGTTCCTTTCTGGCATTTTTGTGGAGGGCGCCCGTTTTGTGGTGGGTTTAGAGGAAAACCAAAGGAACAACTGCAGTTCTAAGGTTCCCCTAAGAACAAACACGCTCCTTTGCCTGTTCCTTTAAATACCATTCGCCTCAAAAAGAGACACGTGGGTCCAGTCTCCGGAATGAATCGCGCAGTCAAATGCTGCTGCTGTCGCTGCCAGCACTTCTGACCTGCGTGATTCGGGGAATGGGTCGTGACCTTTTCTGAGTCGTGGCCCACATCTGAGGTACACAGAAAAACCAGATGGCAGTGGATCAAATCCCCAGTACCCCCCCAACCCCCCACATCCCCTTTTCAACTCAACAAAACAACAAAGAGGTACCCAAAAAGGAGCCCTCTGGGTTTTGACCCACCCATATTGTCGTATTCTGCTTCATGTTCAATTTAGCCTACCCTACAATATCAAGCGGTTTTGGAGGAGACCACAGTTTTAATAGGTTGGTTCAACGGGAACCCTGGGATTCACAAACCCCTGGTTCATTTTCATTGGAGGGTGTCCCCTTGTAGTAGGAATCCGGATCAGTGTTGGAGGAACCCCACCCCCCCTCTCAATAATCCGGGGTCGACACTGCAGGGCAAATCAACAGGACCACCATTGGTTTGTGTTTTCTTTCGGGGGAAACCCCCAACAAATGAGTCACAATCAAAACCTGGTACAAAAATGGTGAACCCAGAATCATGTAAAGAATTAAGAAGGCGGCCGCAGCCATTTATGGTTGGGACTGCCCCTTACTAACCTTCATCTACCCGGGTTTTGATTGTGACTCAAATGGTTTTCCCTTTGGTTTCCCGTTGAAGCCATCCAAAAAGGGATACCAACGCGCCAGCCACCATTTCGATGTCGCCAGGGCCCTTTACGCCGTTGCGCGAAGGGTCTTCCGCTTGGCTCAAAATCCGAGAGCTAGGGCCAACCGCAGGAATTCGTCTTTACCATGATGGGAGCCCCCGGCAGGGAGCCGAAGCCGAATCGTTTCCCATTTGCCCTCAGGGGTTCAAATCCAAATCGAATCCAAGGTCTGACCAAAGGCGGGTGCCTTTCTTTCTTGCGATCGGTGGATTCGAGAGATGCAGGGAATGAGACTTATGGAATGACCCCGAGAAAAACCGAATCCCAACTGGTGGTTTCCTTTAAGGGGACCAATTCCTGGGTTCATTAAACCACATTTCCTACCTATCGCACCGATCGCAAGTTTTTGGTTGCCAAGAGGTTGCAAACCTCGACTTGCAAACCCGCGAGACCTCTTGGGCGAGTCCAGTTGCAACGAATGCTCGCCGTGGAGAAATGAACAACGCCCTTGCCGCGTTGAAACCAACAAACACAAAAACGATTCATCACCTTAAACTAGGTCCTCCAGATTTGAGAGGTTAGAATAAGTTGGTACCCGATTTTTTTCTGTAGTCTATGTTAGTAGGGGAACCCTGCCCCAAAAAGAAACGGTGAAAGGGCACTACTGGGGGCCCTAGAAAGGATTCAGCTTGACCTGAACAGGTTTCCGCCTGGGTTGAGAAGCTGGGCATAGAGGCATGCTGCGCTTTTCTTGGCAAAGGGCAGGCGTTTTTAGTTTGGCCAAAGAGTGGACTGAAAGTTCAACCTTAGGGGCCAAATAGCTGTGGCTCAAAAAACCGGTACCAAAATCGAAACCTGGTAAGTGGAAATATGGAACAAAACCTGCGTAACCCCTCCTGGTTAATTTTGAGCCATACCCAAATGGGTGTCTGGTTTTTAGGGAAGCCAAAACGGGGACAAAAAAGGCAAAACACCTTGTTTTTTTTGGCGAGGGTCACCTTCACAAAAGAAAGACCCCCCCAAATTGCATTGCCACATCAAGGACCTTCGCCAAAGGAATGGCTCTGAACGATCTCTAGCAGTCACTCTGGGCAAACTAATTACTATGCACAGGCTGGATTCAGTCATCCTGAAAGGGACCTCCCCAGACTCTATGCCAAGTGAGTCTATGCCTGGCTGGAAATTCAGAGTTGCGTCAAAGTAATGGGAGTCTGGACAATCAGCGAGTCTATGGTCCGAACTCCCTTGGCAAACCAAATATTCCAAGGAAACTGCCCATTCTTTGCACGGATCCTTCTTCCAGAAAAACACGACAACAGATTTGCTGAACAATGGCCGTCTCTTAAAGAGAACTATGGTTGAACAGAATGGGGAACTTAAGCTGCACCCCGCCCATGGGTGTTTCTGATTTTTAGGAGCCAATTCATTGACCAGACTTAGACCCCCTGCAAAAATATGTTTTTTTGCTGGTAAGGTAAAACGACGGAGACGCAAAAAGCACAAAGGTCAAACACTTGGCTGCTCCCCTTCGATCCCATGCAAGTGCTCAACTTTCTGTGGAAGCTACAACTCAGAAAACCTAATGAACTGGCGGAGGGCTTTTAACCCCTCTCAAGTGCTCATCCCCACGAACCCCAGGCTGACACCCTAAACTGGGGTTTAACTTCATCCCTGGTCAGCATGAAAAACATCTCCGAACCGGACTTGGCAAGGTCAGGTCAGCTCCTGGCAAAAATTGCTCCAGGCTCCCAGTCCCAAGAGTGGGTGACCGTTTTTTTTGGGGGGACGTCGCTTTTTGGGAATCGGAACCTCCAAAATGGCGAAATTTCCGGTGTTCCTTTGGGGTTCTCTTTAAAACCAGCGAAAAAGACGGGAACCGAGCCTCAAACAAAGGCACGCCCAATTCTCAGAAACATCTTCATGTGTCCCGGCCTCCAGCAAGTCGACGACGCCTGCGTAGGATCTTCGTTTCACACCTGGAGCCTCCATTTGCGAATACCTCCCCTGGAGAGAAAAATGTGATACTGTGGATGGACGAAATCCTGCACCACTTTGAAGCCATGGGAATCATATCATTCCAGGGGTTTCTTAGGTGGTGCGACATGGATTTCGCAACCATCCACAGTATGCCCAACTCGGAACCCGGAACCTTCTGTCTGAAAGCTGCCCCAAACCATGCCAGAGTGTTTTTGTTGGCAAAGACAAAATATATTGTCTCAGCTGTTGGGGAAGAATCATGTTTCCAGTAGTGATGGATTCCCCAAACCAACAGGACAAATAACAACTATTCAGCAACTGGACGCAGGAAAAAGTTCAATCTTGGGTATAATCATAAGGGTATTCCTCTCAGTTCAGATCGAGTCGGCAAACAAAATACCACTAACATGTGGTTTAAACGCAAAGATGATAGGCAAACCACCCCAACACAACGTATAAGAACCCCTGCCCCAAGAGGAGCTTCGCTCGAAGGCAACAAAAGTGTAAAGTCCAGGAACTCAGGGAATGAGCATCTGGGGCTGGGTCCAGTTCCCTACAGCCCCAAAATGAGGCCCATTTTAGATGGACGCGTCAGATAGTCCTTACTTTAGGGGACGCCCACATCACGGCCTTACTTTGGGGAGTTTTCTGAGGAGTCTCTACTCTAGTAAGTGGCTTACAACCGTGCAAATGAGGGTCACCTGGGTTGACTCCTTTTCGGGATATGGGACGTCGACATTGTGATTCCCGAAAACCCTCGTGAAACAACCTTGAAGTTTGAGCGACATCCTATGGCTACAACCTACTTGGGATTTGTCCATTGCCCAAATCCAAGTAGCTGATGGCTTGAGGTGAAAGCGGGGGTCGTTCAGTACCCCGGTTTGGGTGTGTCTCTTTTCAGGAACCTTAGCAAAAACGAGGCTGATTCCGGACAATTTCCGTTTCTGCCGACCTTGGCCAAAACGGGAGGGGGGAAGTTGTGCCCCCCCATCCTGACGCTCAGGTATTTGATTGTTGACTGACTGTGGATGGATGTTTTACCCTGCATCCCTGCACCAGTTGGCAGGTGGTTTAGTGTCAATAAGGCGTCAGCCATCCCAACTGGAATTATGATAAACCTAGAATTTTGACAAGGCCTCCCAACCCAGTGGATTTCCGTGGGGGAAAAAAACAGCCTTTCGGCACTCCTTTTTTGGCGGTTCAAGAGTTTTCCCCATTCAAAAATGGAGACACGCGGGTGCGTCTTTTTTTGAGGGCACCGTTTTTTTGGGATGGTTTCAAAAGGAAACACATGGAACACCACAAACCTTTTGCGGGTCCGACAAACCCAAACTGAATTGCAACCCAGCGCCTGAGAAAAAGGGGCTGCTTCGGTGCATTTTGGGGACGAATTCAGCATTTGGGGGTGGGAGTTGCAAAATCCATTTTGCACCAAAGAAACCCCTGAAATGATATGATTCTCCTGTAAATACCAACAAACAATGGTTTCCCATAGCTTCTTAGGTAGTGCGGGATATCGTCCATCCACAGTAGAAACTGGTGCCTTGAAATGTTTGGCGGTGTCCCATAAATACCGTAACCCATCAGGGGGTGAAAATCCCATTTTCAGAAACACGTATTACCCAGTACCAAGGATGAAACATCCTAACTGGTGGATTGTGCCCGTTCAACCCCTCCCAGAGGCTCCTGGCTTCGGCTTTCAATGAAAGACCCCTCAACCTCTGTATTGGACACGCCGGGCGTCTCAAAACCAGTTTGTTTGGCCCAAAATCACTCGAACTGAAGCCTCTGGGCTGGGAAACTTTCAAGTACGTCCCAGTAGTTGCTTCATGGATCGAACATCTTACCTGGGTCCTACTGTGGATGGACGAAATCCTGCACCATCTAAGAAACCCTGGTTTCTGATGATTCCCCAACGTAAATACCAACAAGCCATGGTTTCAACCATGGTTTCTTAGGCGCTGCGAAACGGATTTCGCAACCCATCCACGGTAGGTTCAACCAACCCATTCGGGCGAAGGAGTACCACCGAAATCTTCGCCCATTCGGATCAACGGAAAAATCCTCGGCGCCTTCCCCACAGCTGGACTCCGAGCCGCTGTCGGAGGGGCCTGGGAGCGGCAGCAGAGAGGCGCAAGAGAGAGAGCGCCAGGCGAAGGCGCAAGGCTCGTCTTTGTTGGCGAGGTCCTCCAGAATTTGAGAGGTTAGAAGAAGTTGGTACCTCTTTTTTTTTTTGCTGTAGTCCATGTTTGCAAGGGGAACCCTCCCCCAAAAAAGGGCAAAAGGGCACTACTGGGGACCTAGTTGGAGTTGGTACCACTTCTGGGGTCTGTGTTTCCTGACTTTGTCTGTTGAATTCACCAAACAGCCAAACAAAACGTGACAACTTTGGCTCGTCTTTTGTTTGAGGCTCGGTACCCCTTGGTCGGAGTTCAAGCGGAAACCAAAAGGAATACCGTTCAGCAATTTTGGAGGGTCCTCCAAGAACTTTTCCTTTTCACACCCACCTGACTCGGGCAGTGGTCAGCTAACCCTCAATTGGTGGTCTAAATTGGCGGTTTGGATTTGGATTTGAACCCCAGCTTCTTACACATGCTACACGCCGTTCTCACAGTGCGGGGTCGATTGGTGACTGACCGATTTTGGCGACAACGAGCCTCCGCGGCTCTTTTTGTGAGCCACGGGCAACCATTGTTCTAGGGGCTGATTCCAACCATTCTTTTCAACCATCGTTCTTTTCAAAAAAACGGCTCCGTGTTCCCTGTGTTTCTGGAGGTTTTTTGGAAAGGATCGCTGGAAAGACTGGAAATGGACGGTGCCCACCCCCCTAAGGAAGGGGTCCAGGCATGGCAAAGGCGCAGTTCATGCCCAGTTTCTACTGTGGACGGTTGAAATCCATTTCGCACCACCTTGAAACCATGGGAAACCATTGTTTGTGGGTATTTACAGGAGAGTCATCATTCCAGGGTTTCTTAGGTGGTGCAGGATTTTGTCCATCCACTGTATGTCGGAAAGCTGTCTGAACTGAGATCCAGTTTTCGACATCGAGAAAACCACCCAAAAACCCAGGGACGAGGGCTGGTGTTGGTTTAACGGTTGACATGCCTTCGTCCCAAACTGTGTCACGTTGAGTTTTCATCTCCAACCCCTTTGTTTCGAGTTGGTTTTCCAATCATCCCAGGGTGCAACCACCACAGGCACCCTGATGACATCACCAAGCGGCCAGGTTAGTAACCCTGGCTATAGGGGACTCACAACAATGCTAAGTGGGGTACAACCAGGGCAAAGCTGACCAGCGATTCCTCCCTGACTATCTAAGTAAATCCAGTCAAACTTGCACGAAATCCTGCACCACCGTTCAGAACCCTGGAATGATGATTGCCCTGGATCCCCACAAATGGTGTCAACCATGTCATTTCGTGGTGCGAAAAACCGGATTTCGCTCCACAGCATGTCCTGGGGGTGCGCGGACGGAGATGCCCAGTGGGCCAGGGGAAAACAAAGAGGGGCATCCTTTTTGACTTGCTTGAGTATAAAGGAATCGGAACCATTCCCAAACAAAAAGGTCGAAAAAAGGAGCGGAATCCGCTGGGCAACCTTGGTTGCTGTTGACCCCTCTGCAAAAAGTTGAACTTTTTGTGGGTTTAGTGAGTGGGGAAAACCCCGTGATTTCAACCAAACAGTTGAAGTCTAAAGATCCAACCCAATAGCAGTGAAGGGCATATCCAGTTCGTTACACCTGATTCAAGCCTGACAATCAACCCAGTGATTCCATTTCCCTGGAGGAAACCAAGGGAACAACATCCACAGGACACGTCAGCAACTGATTTCCGTCCCCTGGAAAAATAACCATATTTCCGGTAGTGAAATCGATTCCCTTTAAACTTTACCAACAGGGGAAAATAGGAAATGAACAAATCTCAACCAAACAGAAGGCAACTCCAACCTCCCTGCGCCTTGGCGTCCTAGGCCCCCGGCACCGCGCCATCGTCACCTCCGACGCCGCCGCCGCCACCGCCGCCCGCCGCGGCGTCGCTTCTTCGGCGCTCGAATTGCGGCGGCTTGGCGCCAGTGGGAGGTCCACGGAGGACACGGAGCCTCGCAGACGCGGAGTCCCACGGAAGAGTCAAGTGCCCAAACGCTCCCGATTGATTTGGGGCCCTCAATCAGCCTAGTTTTGAGACCCCAAAACCCCTCTGGGGTGTCCAATGGAGGATCTGGGTCTTCCATTGGAAGCCGAAGCCAGGAGGGTCTGGATGGAAAAGCTTGAGGTTGGTTCATATTTTGAGGAATACCAAGGGTCCAAGGCAATTTCTTGGTTCCACAAGCTTCTTTGGTGGACCTGGAGTCTCCCTAAGGACCCTAAAAAAAATGGTTGGTCATTACCCAAAATGCAGAAGTCATGGACACATGTTTGAAGGGTCAAAAGGAGACTCCAGGGAACAGCTTGCTGTTGGTTCGTATTTTGAGGAGAACTTAGTTGTTAAAGGCATTTTCTTGCTGGTGCGAGAAGTAGGGAATGAGGAAATCAATCTGGGGATTCCCTCAAAGGAAACCACCAGTTGGATGCTTTGTCTCGGGGTCATTCGATTTCTCACTGCCTGCATCTCTCGCACCGAAGGCAAGTGTTTCAGCCTCCGCTTTGTGTTGTTCAATTCCTAAAGTCAGCTGCCCAGTTCGGACCCAGACAAATAAAAGGTGATCACCGCTTTGGGGCCACTAAAAATCGACCGAAGGGAAACCAAAACTTCGGGGTACAGTCACCAGCGTCAAAACAAAGGGGTTCATATTTCACCACCATTTACTTCAGGAGTAGCTCATCTAAGTGGGTCCCCTTGGGCCATTCTTTTCATGGGAATCGGCAAGGAACCGTAGCTAGGTCCTCCAGTAGAGAGGTTAGACTAAGTTGGTACCAACTTGTTTCTGTCTAGTTTACTAGGGAAACCGAATCTCCCAACCCAAAAAAAGACACGGTGAAAAGGGCGCCACTTGCTCAGAAACCTAGGGAAAAGCTTCGATGCGGTCGGTTCGCTTCGAGGTCCGGGCACGGCTTCGAAAAAAGAAGCCATTCCGGTGCCGACGGCCGAACAAAAAAAAAAAAAAAAAAAAAGTAAGAAAAAACCAAACGGCCCCGGCGAATGTACATTCGACACCTCCATTTGCTTGTCTTAAGCCCCCAGAGAAAAAAGAACAGGTTTCCAAAAGACCAACAGGGGAAAATAAAATATGTTCTTCACCAAATGGAAGGAAAGGTGTAAACAAAGAAGAGCCGGAGGGAAGCGGGGTGTTTTGCTTTTGGAGTCAACACTCACTTGCCTGAAGAGTCCAAATAGGGTAAACCAGCTAATGATTTCAAACAGAAAAAACACCGGTTCCCATTTTCGGGTCTAGGTTTTGCAGGTATGCTGGGTACATAGCAATATCAGGCGTGTATACGATACTGTCTTAGGGGCGTGTGATATTATGGTGTTATATAAACATCCATACTTTCAAAGCCAATAGCATGCTCCGTTAAGACCCTTAAGAACTCTCTTGCAGATTCTTGCAGCTAGGATAGGTAGGGAATCAGGGGTTTTGGGAATCAACCAATGGATCCCCCCTGCTGAGAACCAGAAAGTAGAATGGAAGCAACTATAAAACAAATGTGTAGAGGTTCCTTTCAAGGACCCCCGAGTTGGTTCCATGTAAGTATGGATGTCTTTGTTTAGGAATCGGGCCGGGACCCCAAAATGGATGAAACGGTCCTTTCGTGTCCCTTTAAACCACAAAACATGTACCCTCAACAAAGACACACCCAGAGTCCGAACAACTACATCTAATTTGCATAGGGAATGAAAAAGTCCACATCAAGGAGCGCATGGTTCTCAGGGATTCAAGATGATGCAAGTAGCAATCATTTTTGCGGTAAGCATCACTGGCAAGGATTTTCTCCCGGGGTCCCGGAGTGTTAGTATATGTGTGTCGAAATCGGGGGGACTCCTCCCTAAAGACGTGATTTGTCCTCTTGATTTTTCTTACCAACCTGCAGAACACGCGCAAACGGATGAGCCGCTGGGTGAGAGTAGACCCTACGTTCCGATTCGCCCTTCAAAGAAAGGGCCAAGGGGGCCCAATGTGGATGATGAAACTTGAGCATGTTTTTGTTTTTGTTTTTTGGGGGGGGGTGGTTATATTAACCCCGTTTGCTCCAATGGTGGTAACTGAACCCCGGGGTTGATGGCACAATTCCCTATGGGGTTAAGCAAAGGGGATAATCTTTCATCGCGCCATCCACTTCAACCATCTGATAGGAATCGGACCGCCCAACATGTTGATTCTCCTGCTGTTTTCCTCTGTACACCATCCAAAAAAGTCACACACGCATGGTGGCTGTTGACAGCCCACTTGGATTCCGCGCCATCGTCGCTGGCGCCCAAGGAGAAGGGGCCTCGAATGGGCAAAATCCGGGCAGAGGAAGATGGAAGATGACGGCCCCTTCGCTGGCAAAGTGAACACTGGCAAAGAGGCAGAGCCAGGAGCCCTGTGTGAACACCAGACTTCCATTTGGTTAAGACCCCTGCAAAAAAATATATTTCTAGTAGTGATAAATTCCATTTAAAACCAACAAGGGAAAATAAAACATGTCCTTAAACAAATGGAAGCACAGAAATAGCCCGTTCTTGTGAAGGCCCCCTTTCTGTATATCAGGGAAATAGCCTGTTCTCATGACCACAACTGGATCTCTCCCAGAAAGTGGCAACCTCCTCTGCAAATGTTCAAACGGACCCGCCCCCGAACAAAAAAATGGTCTCCCAAACAGGAGACCCCGCCACAAAGTCTAGGTTCTAGGGTTTCATATTCATCTGGGGAGTAAAGCGTGTTTGGTTTTACCTGGACGCCAAAAGCAAAATCCCCATCTTGTGCGGCCCCTTCTAAAAAAAAGACACCCCCAATTTGGGCGAGAATTTTCATTGGGGACCCTTTGATGGACATCCAAAAAACATGGTGGGAACTCATGCCCAGCACCGCTTAGGTTACCACTCTTACCCGCACACCAACTAACGTGGAACCTGACAGAGGGGTCCTGGGGAACACCATGTTCCTTTTAAAGGGATCCCCGAACGTCAGGTCCGAGTTTGACACCGGAAGTGTGGGACAAATCCAATGTCCCTATTGGTGAGAAAATCCCGGCGCAGGCGAAGCTGAGTCATGAACCTTTAGGGTGGGAACGGAGAGGGGGGGCCGCAACTCCCTGAGTCAGCCCTGAATACTATGGATAGCTGAAATCGAAATTCGCTTCTCGCACAACGAAATGAAACCATGGCTGAAACCATAACTTTTGTTTGTCGGTCATCATGCCAGGATTTCTGGACGGTGGAGCGGGATTCTGTCCATCCACAGAATAATCGGTAAGCAAATCCTTGCCTAGCAGGTAATGATATGAGGTTGATCAAAAGGTTCGGGGAAACCACCAACACAAATGACTCTCACCACATGGGCAAAGTTACCCGTGGTCAGGTTGGGGCCAGGAATACTGATCAACCCCATATTGCGGATATTCCTTTAATCAGCTCCTGGCTTTCCCGAAAAAAACCATACAACCAGCAATGGTTCAAACACTCACGTGGCAATTCCCAGATAAGTTTGTCTCAAAATAGGGGAACCCCAACAATGGGTGTTTCCTGTTCATTTCCCTTCAAAGCCATCCAAACAGGGTACCCTCAAAATTCCACGCCAAAATCAGACGCTCTCGGTTTGACAAGGCCCTCTGCATTAGCCCTCCTCGATTCATCCTCCTAGTCACAGCCATGGGCATGGGAGAATTCATCTTCGTAGTGAGTCTCCCATGTCCCAAACCCCCGATATTTGACGGGGCCCAAAGGAAATAACATTTGAATAAGTTGGTACGCAACTCTTTTCTGTAGTCTCTTTTAGTAGGGGAACCTTCCCAACCAAAAAAGAAACGGTTAGAAAGGGCACCTAGCTGGACCTAGAAATAGAAAAGCCCTGCGGCGTCCATCGGGCGCGCTGTTTGCCGGCCAGGGCACGCAGGCCCTCCACTTTGGTCTCCCAACCAGCCTGGCAGCATGCGGGCGAAGCAAAGGGCCACATTTCCTCGATCTGCACGTGGCATCCTTCTAGTACCTTCCATTTCCAGTGGCGCCCTTTGTACCTTCTAGACACCCAGTGGCGCCCTTTGTTTCTAGCAAAAGCCTCCTGGCCCATTCTTTCCAGGGATCCGAATCTTTCCAAAAAAACTTCAATTCGCCCGGGGGAAGCGGCCGGTTGTTGAAAACGATGGTTGAATGGGGAATAAAACCCCTAGAATCCTCGGAATGACCCCCGGCTGGTCGGGAAAACAACACCCCCAAAACTCAATGCTCACTTTCATGACCTGTGTCGACCTTTGAATCACCTCTTGAACCGTGCTGATCAGAATCTGCTATATAATTAAAGCTACCCACCAAAACCTCAGTTGCCCAGTTCGGACACAGAAATAACAGGCGAGCACCTCTTGGCACCTGTACTCAAAATGGACCAACATGCTTCGCTTCGGGGTGACCTCAAAAAGGCAGCGACTGAGTGGATCAAATCAGCCAACGGAAAAAAAAAGGGGGAAAAAAAGAAAAATAAAAAAAACAAACAAAACGCAAATCGCAGCGAAACCTGCGGGATAGGGGGGGCACCAGCGTTTTGACCCACAGCCAAACAGTCGGGTGAGACTAGAAGAAGACTAAGGGAAGATGCCGGGGTCCAAAAAAACGCGCGCGAGACTAGAGCAAGACTAGGGGGCAGACCATGGGAAACCGAATCGCTTTCAGCGAATCTTGCTTTGGTAAGCCCCAGGTAGGCAGCCTGGAGAGGGAAGAGAGAGGCTATCCTGCAGCCAGAGGTACCCGAAAATTCCGATTGCTTAGAGCGCAGCAAGTCAAAAAGCAAGCTTTTTAGAGGTCCAGCCAGGTTTCACAAACGGGGCGCGAGGTTCCAAACAGGTCAAGCTGCAGATTCACCTGGAACCCAAAAAACATCACTTTTAGTTTGGGACCTCCTTTTGGTAGGACCCCCTAATTCCCCCCTTGTTTTGGCTCATGTCAATTGAAGGGGAACAGCCCAAATTGCGAGGCCATCTATGGATGCCCCATGAAATGAAACAGGCCACTTGAGTTTGTGCATGACAACCCTCCGCTTGCCTCGTGCGGAATTGGGGAGGGAGACGGCGACCGTTCAGCTGCGACCTGGAAGCAGGTCCCAGCGTCATTTGGCTGTGGGTCAAGAATAGGTACCCAAAATGCAACCCTGGTAAATGGACATATGGACTAAACCTGCGGTCCCCTGGTGGTTTAATTTTGACCCATACCCATTTCATCGCCACGCAAGAGGAAAGCATAGATCCGATACTCATTTGGGTGCGTCTTTTTGAGGAGACCCCTTTTGGTGGGTTATAACCCCCCCACCCATTAACATGGACCTGGACAGAGGGGTCCTGGTTTGGACCATTTTCCAAGCGACCGGGTCCCTGTCAGGTTCCATGCTAATTGGTGAGAGGGTAAACCCAATCATAACTTAGATGAAACTTCGTAGGTGAATAATAGTAGATGGCTATTAGCCTGCATTGTTTTAATGCTGTGGTAACTGAACCCCAGGCTGGGCAGTTGCTCTTATCGTCCTCGAAATCCTGCAACTCCCAAACTGGAAATTCGACAGTTTCCCTATGAAGGGCCTTCATGGGGTAAATCGCCGCCAATGTTGCCCCCAAATGAGCTCGTAAACTACTGGGCGCCCTGAAATAGGGTGACCCCAAAATGGTGACTTTCGTTTCATTTCCTTCAACCAACTTACAACAAGGGGCCTCAAAGAAGCAAACACAGTCACATACTGTATGGGTGGTTCTCAAAATGGGCTGTCGTTTGTGAGGGTACCCCTTTTTGGTTTTAAAGGGACGTCAAACGGAAAGCCGCAACTTTTGGGTGGGGTCCCCGAAACCAACAAAAAACAACATACCCAAATAGGGGTACCCTAAGATGGCGGGTGTGCTTGTGATTTCCCTTCAAATACCAACTAGGTCCCCCAGTAGAGAGGTTAGAATAAGGGTACCCTTGTTTCTGTAGTCTGTTTTCGTAGGGGACCCCTCCGCAAAGAAAAAAGAGGAACGGTAAAAGTTGGCACTGGGAAACCTAGCCAACCAGAGCGGTGCCAAAACCTGCAGTCCCAAGTCGCCTGCACTTCGCCAGCAAGCTCCATGCCTCAAGTCTCTCACATCGTGCAGGAAAGAGCTGGTTTGGGGTGTTTTGGGGTCACTTGTAGAGTTTCCTGTAACCAAACCTTTTGGCTGAAAAGAATATGGGAAACCAACCACCAAATCAACGCAACATGGTCGTGTGCCATGTGTGTGGTCGAAACGACTGTGGGGCATGGTCATGGTTCACACTTTACTAATCCGCTCCCCCTATTAATAAATACCCCCCCCCCTCCCCTATTATAAATAAATCCACCCAAACATATATATATATATATATTTAATTGGGGTTTTTGGGGTTGGGTGTTTTGCTTTTCCAACAATGTGAGGGTTCACATAGGATTTGGAGGAAATGGATTGAATTGTAAGGTCCGCGAGTAAGCGGTTTAATAAGGAAATGTGATGTATCATTCTATTTGTTTACCAGTTTACTGGTTGTTTGTTTGCAGCCAGGCAGGTTAATTAGCCCGCATGCACGGGAGAGAGATAGTCGCAGCTAGACAGCTTTTGGGGACATGTTTTCTTTTGAGGGACACCCCAATAACTAAAGGAACCCACCTTTTGAAAAGTGAGGCTGGAAGCTTAAGTGGCCCCTAATAAGGATTCCAAGACTTTAGTATTGGTTTAGTATTGGCGCAATGGAAAATCAATTGTGCGGAGTGGAAATCTGGACTCGGGCCCCGGATTTGCATTTATTATTAATGGGGGTCATTCATTAATAGGGGGAGGATATTACAGTACTCCCTCGACCCCCTCGTAGTGAAGGATTCCTTTTTGAGGGGGTCGCCCATTTTTCACAAAAGGTGGCGAAAAGACACCCCTACGGTCACCAGGGTGAGTTGGTAGATGGCAAAACATCCCGATGCCATCTACCAACTCTCCAAGCGCCGCAAATATATGGCCATGGGTCCAAATCCCGTACCCCCAGTGAACATCCCAATCCCCACTAAAATAGGTTCTAAAATGGGTGGTGAATTCAGCTACCAACCAAAATGGGATCCCAAAACGGTTTTGACAACCACAGCCATATCGCAAACAAGAAACCCCTGTAAACACCTGCGAATTTTGTCATGTGCTTGGCGGCCTGGTTTGCTTGCAACATGGCAGGGGCATCCACCCAAGAACCTCCCGCTCGCCAAGTCGCTCGCCGGCTCAGCTTTCCGAGACCTCAAAGAGCTCGGAGACTCCGGGCTCTCAGGGGCAGAGGTGTCGCCCAGAGAGAAAGGCGCCGCGTCCTTTGGAACTGGCCTGGGAGGTGCGCGCGTCGAATCCTTCCACTTGGTTAAGACCCCTGGAAAAAACAAACATATCTTAGTGCTAAATTCCTTTTAAAACCAAGATGGGAAAACGGAAAGGTACCCTTGAAAAAGACACAGAGCCTTGTCCTTCATTTGCTGAGAAGTCCCCTGGAAAAATGAGAACATATTTCCAGTAGTGAAATCGATTCCCAGTAAAACCAACAGGGGAAAAAACAAAAACAAAAACATCTTAACCAAATGGATTTTTTTAGACATGGCCGAACGCCACTGTTCAAGCAGCCTGCTGTTGTTTTCGCTAAGGAAAGGGACCAGGGGTCCGACCAGCCCCTTGTCCTCACTTCAGCTCGAGAGGACTGGCCGAACGACCAACCCTGACCACCAGGTGGACCAATTTTGGACAAACGAACAAGCGGGGATACGGCGGGAGCCTGGATTTGGGGGGATTCCCTTGGCGCCATTTCCCATATCAAACTTAGTCAAGGTTAGGGGGAATCCTCCCATATCCCTGGCTCCCGCGGTATCCCTGCTAGTTGGTTTCCCTGACAACTGAAGGTTTCCAGGTTTCCGACTTCTGGGCTGTCCAAGCTCATCCATGCGAAAAGTCGAAAAACTTGTGGGTGCAACTCGGAAACCCAACCACTAATTCACAAGCTAAAAAACGCCACAAAAAGGAAGAATAACAACAAAGTTGAACCTAAAACCACCTTTCACCCACGAAAAACCACAACAAACCCCTGAAGGCTGCGAACCACCGAAGCTGGTTTCAAGCAAAACTTGCTCCCAACCCCTGGCCTGGACGGCGGGTCGCCTGCCGGCCGTTCGTGGCCAGCGGACAGCTCTGGCTGGACGGGCTGGGCGCTGCCGTGCTCTTCACGGGATCTGCGCTCCTCAGGGCTACGTCAGCTTCGCGCTGTATGGGTGGCTCGTCGTTTTGGGGTTGGACCTCATATATTTTTTGTTCCTGCTGGTTTCACTTCAAAGCCCACAAAGAGGGGTACCCCAAAAATTGGTGGTTTGGATTGGTGGCTTGGGGATTCGGGGTGCTTTAGCATTTGCCCCCTGCAAGAAAGTGCACATCCCCAAACCACCAATCCAAACCACCAATTACGGGGTTGCATCGTGTTTTTCACATGACGACTGATTCGGCCCCTAACGGAAAAGCAACAGGAGGTCGTTTAGCACAAATTTGGCTGCTATTTGGTTTCACCTTTCAGATTTATTTGCTGGGCTCAGCAGGGAATGAGAATTGAAGTGACCCTGTTTAACCATCCCCTATGGTTTCCTTTAAGGGGATCGCCTTGGTTCCTTCCATTTCTCATTCCCTGCTCTTGTTTGCTCACTGGCAACTTAGAGGTCCCTGGAGTTCCCATGCAGGTCGCTCAGCTTTGGCCCTAAATATGTTCGATTCTGGCAACTCGATTGAGTGAAATGTATGTAACATAAATTATTATTATTAAACAAAAAGGAGAACCGCCCCCCAAACAAAACAGAAAACCCTGCAAACAAGTCTCCTTGTGGTTTCCCTCCTCCCCGCCCCCAGAGAAAACAAAAAGGTATGCTGGTTCCCCTACAAGAAAGTCATTTCCCTCCTCTCCAATACAAATAAAATAAGAATAACAAAAACAAATGCAGCTGGTTCCCCCCCACCCCACCCCCTCCTTTCCCAGGAAGAGAACCAACCCCCCCGCCAAACCGCCCACCAGTTCACCGGAGCCGCGCCCGCGACCCCCGCTCTCCTCGGCTCCGTCGACTCGCTTCTCGGAGTCGGCTTTGGACTCCCAGAGCCGCCGCAGAGAGGCCACGCCTTTGAGCTCCGGCTCCTTAGGGACAATAAAAATGACGTCAAATAGGAAGAATTCAACAAATGTATATAGTTATATATATATATATCTATATATTACATATATATATACCGAGACATATAGTAAATATATAAATATACACCAACACATATTAATATATATATATATACATATGTATACACATACATTGTGGCACCCCCCCATTAGTTCAGACCTGGTTGAATCAGACACTCATGCCCCAAATGTAGGTCACTTGGGGGGTGGGGTGGGGGGGGGGGGGGCGTGAGCGATAGAAAAAGAAAGTGATATATATATATATATATATAGAGTGATAGAAAAAGAAAGTGAACAAAAAAAAGGTGTATGTCATGTCCTTTGTCTCTTTCACTGCCAACAGATGGATGTGAGAGAGGAGAGAGAGAGAGAGAGAGAGAGAGAGAGAGAGAGCTGGATCAAAGTATGTGGTTTTCCCTCTTTGGCTATGGGCAAACAGAAGAGTTCCCTGGCTTTGTGGAATCAACATATGCAGTGGTTTTTGTCTTCCCATGGCAAGGGAAGAAGTCAATAGTCAATAGTTGCTAAACAGTCATGGGTGTGGCGGGATATTTAGAGAGCCCCCATGTACAGGGCTGCCTATATGTCCCCTTAAAACATCACCCCCACCAAGGGACACTCACCTTTGGGCCAAAAAGGTGATGGTTCAAACCGCCAAAAAGGGAAATAACTCGGGACCCCTGATGTACCTGCCAAAGTCTACAGGCCAAGTAGGGTCTTTGAGGCTTCGACCATGGAGATGTTGGGCTGTCCCTATGCCCCTATTGGATATCTTGACCGAAGCTCACATGACTAGGCTGGAATTAGGACCCCAGCAAAAAAAAACCTTGGGGGAACTAATTTGGGGGTCAGATGAGGGAAACATAGGCGCCTGATTGAAGTCGGTTGGTTGATGTTCAAGAGACACCCAAAGAGTCGGAAAAGGAAAGGCCTTTTCTGTAGTTGGCAGACTTCACAAATGGAAGAAGAAGAATGCACGCTTGCCCATGGAGCTTGTTCAACAAATGGTCCCAATTTTGGACCTTTCCAGCCGGTGCCTTTGGGTGTGTCCTTTTTCAGAATCCGTTTTGGGGTTGGTTCGGGTACACATTTTTCTGTTGGGGGGCGTGCGTTCCCCTTTCTGTCTCCTTGTAAACCCCTTTAAACGTCATGCCCCCAAAGGAAACTCCTTTACATTGGCTCCTTTTGAAGGGGAAATATAGTCCTGAGTTTGGGTCCCAAACACGCATCCCCTTGAAAAACACAACACTGACATGGGGAAATATTGCCCTCCCCCCTTTTCGTTTCAAGGAAAACCCACTCACGAAAGACGGGGAACACCTATGCACGTGTTCAAGGGGAACCCACCCCCCCAAATATATATATATATATATTGGGTATAACATTCGATGCACAGTGAACAACATTACCATCGGGATGTGTGCAACCTTCATATTTTTTCGCTGCGGCAACCATGAGCAATTCGTAGGCATCTGGGTGTGCGGGGTTCCCCAAAGCGGGTCTTCAGTTTCTTTTCAAAACCAAAAACGGGCACTAACTCAAAAAAGGTACTTTTGAAAGTAGAAAAACCCTCCAGACTCGACATGTCAGGTAATTTTCTTGGTGGTTTGGATTGGTTTGGATTTGGATTTGAAGCCCTTGCCTTGGTAGAGAGTAAATGGAATTCCCCACCCCACACCACCACCGACTGCAAACCAAGCAGAGGGAAGCAGAAGGTACGGTTCGAATGGTGGCAAAGTCAATTCGAGTCACCGAAGAAACCCTATGGAATGAGTGCTGATTCCCCTACGTAAATAACAACAAACAATGGTTTCAACCATGGCTTCAAGATTCCAACATAAAACCAACCATGGCTTTAGGATTCAACCCCGGCTTAAAATTTGATGATTCCCCAACATTCATACCAACAAACCTTATAGCATCCACCATGTTGTTTTTCTTTTCATTTTTGTCGTCGTGGTGCGATTTCTGGATTTGGTCGTTACACAGTAGGTTTGGCCAATTTGGTTTTCCTTTACCGGGCTGTCCTCAGATCCTTGCTAAGCGCAGAGCTGACTTTAGGTTCTACGTGGATGCAAAGGTTTCTATAGCTGGACCCTCAAAAAAGAATGGCTGTTGGCCCAAAAGTAGTATGGGGTGAATCTCTTTTTAAGGGTATCAATATGTCCAAAATCTGAGATCAGAATTGGCTCCCTGAGAAACACATAACATTACCATGGTATTCGTTTTTACCCCCGAATCGAGGAGCTGGCCATAAAGTATGCAGAATAGGCAATACTATATTTCCAAGTAAACTAGGTGGGTGGCAGAATCACTTACTAAAAGGTAGCGCCACACTTTTATCCTGCGGCCGGTCCAACTTTTGTGACACCCGCAGGCTGACCCCTCCAATGCAGGCCTAAAGGGCTCTCCAATGAAGAACCCGGAGCCCTCGAGGACTCTTGAAAACAACCCATTTTGAGGGTCCACAAATTATCGGGAGCCTTAGGGCTTGATTATTAAAAAAAAAGGTCAGACAAGAGCGCGCTACTCACTAAAACTCGAGTAATACCCTCCCCATTCTCTTCAGGGATCCTTCTCTTCAAATAATGGGCCAAACACCTGGAAGATTGGTGATTTCCAAAGAGAACGATGTGAAGAGAATGGAAAAGGAATCAAACAGTAGCAAAAATCCCCTCTCGGGGGTTTGGGGCGCTGCCAGGGCGCCGCTTTGCTGCTGCGCTGGCTGCCTTCGGAGTTCCGCGAGCCGCCACCGTTTGCCTCGTGCAGGCCATGGCCACAAAGGTCCGCCTGGATGCCGGCCTCGGGGAGAAGAAAAGCCGCGGCCGCACTCCAGGTGTTTCGTTCCAAGAAAGGGTGGGATTCCCTATTTGGTTGCTGCTGATCCCTCTGGCCAAAAGCTTAACTTCTTGTGGGTTTAGTACGGAAAACCCAACTTGATGTCCGAAAAAGTGAAAGTCCAAAGATCCGTTGCCCAATAGCAGTCAAGCCTAAGGCTCCCTAAGGATGGGGATCCTACAACGACAACAGCAACATACGCAAGGAGTGAACCTCCATGGCTTCCTTTTGGCTTCCTTGGAAACCAACTGAACATGGGTCGAGCCTCAAAATTAAACTTGCTTGACGTTGGAAGGGGAGCAACATTTGAACAAAAAAAAAGCAGTTAAGTGGTTGGATTTCAACCACTAAACCACAAGAAGCAAAATGTAAAATGTTTTCCAACAACAACCATGAAAAGAAGAAGACCAGCGCCGCCCAAATTCTCTCACTTTGGAGGTGCGAAAGAACAGGTAGTAGGGAACTCCCGTGGATTCACTTCTCCAAATCGGCTCCCTATGTGCCACTCCCGTGACTTTTGCCACGGGGGATTTCGCATAACTATCGTACATGGGTCTGAAAAAGGTGTGTGTGTGTGTCAATTTAAAGTAGGTAGGTGCTTTTCCATTGTGGTGTTGCGAAACAGACACCCCCACAAAGGTGCAGCCGCAAAAACCAATCGAGCCATGGCCCCGGAAAAAAAAGAGGGGGAAACAAAGAAAACGCAGACGTCAGCGCTTACTCCCGAGCGATTGCTACCGGGTCAGGGCGGCCCAATGCAGCACAGATGCATTGGCTGTCAAGGGCTTGATCGACCTCGTCGCAGAAGGCAGCCCAAAGGCCCACCGGGGGTGGGTCGGACGGTCGGCCCATGTGGAGATCAACACTTAGTACTAAAATGGTCAACCCAGAACCATGTAAAGAATTAAGAAGGCGGATATCCGCAGCTATTTCTGGTTGGGATCGTCCCTCACTAACCTTCATCTACCCGGGTTTTGATTGTGACTCATGTGGAGATCAACCCAAAAATAGGGGTTCCCCTTGACATGGTTGGCCCGAAAGTAGAAAGCCCTAAACACAAGTGGTTTCCTGTTGGTTTCTTTTTTGTTTTGCCCGGGGGGGGGGGGGGGAACTTGATACCCAAAAGGCAGCGAAAGTCCAGTTCGATATTCAACATCACGACAAACCGGAATGAGGGAATGACTCCTATAAGCCGCCCAACTGGTGGTTTCGTTTAAGGGGACCAAAGCCTGGGTTCATTCCCCTTTCTCATTCCCTACTTATCGCATCAGCAAGCAAAAAGCACTGGACATCTATTTCAGACACCAGCTCTTTTCCCGTGCGATGTGCTCCCCTGACACCTGTTCTTCTCATCTCTTTTCCCTCGCGGAGGCTTTCTATTACTATGGTTCCTATCCATGCGTTTAAGTGGTTTTCCGATTGTGAGTGGCGGTATGCCCCAACCCAGACGCGGTTCAGACTGGCACGGCCATACCAACAGCAAACCGACCCAAAGCCGCGGCCATGGGAACAAGGTTGACCCCACAACAAGAACGGACCATGTCTTTCCTGTCATGCTGCCGAACCGGACTCAACACGGAGGCTGGGGTCACACTGTGGATGGACGAAATCCTGCACCACCTAAGAAACCATGGTTGAACCATACTTCGTTGGTATTTGCGTTGGAGAATCATATCATTCCAGGATTTCTTAGGTGGTGCGAAATGGATTTTGCGTCCAACAGCATGTCCGGCACGGTTGCTGACTCCAGAGATTCACCGGCATGCTCACCGCCGAAATGCGCTCTCTGAAGGTCTTTGAGGAGCCACTCCGAAGGTGGGTGTGGTTCTAGGGGTGCCTTCCATTTCCATTCTTTCCACCCAGAGGCTCCAATTCGATGTATTTCGGGCCCTCAAACGCCCGGATTTTGAGACCGGGTCCCAAACGCCGATTCCCGGGGTGTCCAATGGAGAAGTCGGGTCCGTTTTGATTGCCGAGGCCGATCGGAGCCTCTGGGCAGGGATCCCAATCTTTCCAAACCAGATACCTCCAGAAACCCAGGTTGGAAACGGCAGCTCGAAAAGGATGCTTGAAAAGCATGGTTGAAAGCAACGCCTGGAGTGCCTTGGGAACCTCCTGTTGCTTGGTTTTAAGGGGAAGCCAAACGGAAAACCATCCTTTTGGGGGTCCAAACCATCCCTCAAGAAAAGGTTTTCCTGGTGGTTTCCTTGAACACCATTTTATGGGATAGCAATTCAATAAAGACGAGCCGCCCGAAAAAATGACACCCAACTTTTGGACACAAGGCATCCCTCTGCAGAAACTTGCGTACAGCGCTGGGGGGGCTTTGCTGAGCCTCCCAAGAGGTCCCCAGTGGATTTTCATTCGGAAACCAGGACGCCCACTTTTTGTAGGTGGTTGTCCAGTTTTTAAAGGGAACCCCCCTCCCAAAGAAGGAAAAGGGCAAACATTGTCCGATGGCATGTGTTTGTCCGCCCATTTTTCAGGGCGTCTTTTGGGTTTGCCTTTGCCCCTGGCGAACATTTCAAGGCCCAAAGGAAGTGGCGGGAGTCACAAGGCACCCCCGAATGTTCCAACGAATCGCCACAATGCACGGGGATCAGTACCTAATCTTGGTCAACGTCAACCTAATAGTTGTCCTTTTGGTCAGCACAAAAGGAATCAGCACCTAATAGTTGCACCTGGTCAACGTTCAACCATAGTTGTCCTTTTGGTAAAATAGATGGCACTAGTAAGTGATTAGGACCTAACTGCAGCTAGTGCCATCTATTCTCAACAAAACTGACCTACACAGGCCACCTGTGCGTTGAACGCTAAGCCTGGGCATAGTTTCTTTGAGCATCATTTGAGTCAAGGGCGAAAATATAAGATGGTCCCAAACGTTGACCCAGTAACAAGGCCTTGGGAACATGACCCCCCCCCATAGCTAGGGTTGCCTGAAATATTGAGATAACCACTACAGAAAAGCATGGACAACCCTGCTTTCCAGCATTGCCAAAGCAATGGCCACAATACATAAACTTGCCGAAGACCTAAGCTGGGTGGAACGACCCGGCTGTTGCAACCTTTGAGGTGTCCTTCTTCGTTCACATGGATCTTCAAGGAGGAAGCGAAACCGCGGCTCGCATCCCCCTTGGGGCCCCACTCTCGGATCGCGCCACCTGAAGCTCCCATGGTTTTTTTTGCTCCGAAAAGAGCGAACCGCCCATATAGTGTCCTTTTGGTAAAATAGATGACCCTTGTAATGAAACAACCGGGTCAACCAGGGCCATCTATGTTCTACCAAAACAAACAAAACGGACACCTACGGAACTGCCCCCCTTGGACATGTTTACAAACAGAAGAAAGACAACGGGGGCAAATCTGGGCACCAAATTCGCCAACAACGCTGGCACAAGGAACCCAACCAAACAAAAACGGCGAAAAGGGAATCTCCTACTCAAGTACGCAGGCACTGGCCTCATGTTAAAAGCAACATATTTGCCCTGTGTTTCCCCTATGGCTGTGGCGCCCACCTCTTATAAAGGGCTTGTCATCTCTTCCAAGCCCCCTGGTTCTTTTGTTAGTACCTGGAGTCTCCTTCTGACCCTTGAAAAATGGTTGGTCATTACCCAAAATAAAGGGGTCATGGACCCATTTTTGAAGGGTCACGGAAACTCCAGGTACTCATTTTGTACTCTTTGCATATCCAAAGAAGGGGTGGATCCACAGATACGAACCCGTTTTCTAGGGTAATGTGGTTGCTTCTGGAGAATCGGCCAACCGTCAAACACACTTTTCGGCACACGAGCTAAAAAATAGTGGACCCACCCTTGTCAAGCCTTTGTATGGGGGTTCGGGTATGGGTCAAAATCAGTGCCTACCAGGATATGGACCGCATATTTTTGTCCACGTCAACCCATTTGCCAGTCCATCCCATTTTTGCTACCTATGATTGACCCACCGCGGATTTTGTCCACATACCATTTGTGAGATGTTCCCCATCCAAAAGGCGTGGCCCGGTTTGTCGCGGGAGTACTTAGGGCGCCTTTTGCTCCACGGCAAAGTCGCGTTTCACGCGCAAAGGGCAGCCAGATCACGATCGAGCCGCTTTCTTCAGGATGCTGGAAAGCCAACACTTTTACGTATCGACCCCATACTGCGGATGGACGAAATCCTGCACCACTTTGAAACCATGGGAAACCATAATTTGTTGGTATTTACAGGGAATCAATCCATCCCAGGGCTTCTTAGGTGGTGCAAGATTTTGTCCATCCACAGTATCAACCGCAGTGTATGTTTTTTTGGGGGGGTGTTCCTACTAAACCCAGGGAGAAGCATCCCTTTCTACTGTGCAGGGGCGAAATCCAGAACGCACCACTTTGAATTTACAGGGGAATCATCAAACCAGGGTTTCTTAGGCGGTGCGAAATGGATTTCGCAACCATCAACAGTATGAATAAACTGGGGTTGATTAATATGGGGTCAACATGACCCTATCGGGTTCAACCCCCCCCCCCCAAAAAAAAAAAAACAGCTTTCATGATTGGCAGTCGTGTCTCTGACAAAGCCCACCCTGCAACTGGGCGGGCGTCCTTTCTGTCCCAGACCCACAAGGTGGCCTGGTTTAAAAAAAAAATGGCACTCCTTTTTGGTGGTTGATTTGAAACCAGGATTCAAGTGGGTGTGTCCTTTTAAGGTTGGACCAAACAAATGATGGTTTTCCTTTTAAGGTTTAGGTTGGACCGGAAAAATGATTGTTTTTGCTGTTGGTGTCCCTAAGCCAAAAAAAAAGCTTGGGGCACCCTCGAAAGAAGTTTTTTCCTGGTTCCAAAGGTCTTACCTTCCTAAGCCTACTTGAGTCACAATCAAAACCCGGTATAAACATGGTCTACCCAGAACCATGCTTCAAGAATTAAGAAGGCGGCCGCAACTATTTCTGGCTGGGACTGCCCCTTACTACCCTTCAACTACCCGGGTTTTGATTGTGGCTCACTTGGACCTTCCAAGAAAGGAAAGTTGCTCCACACCACCCCAGAGCTTTTTTGGGATCCACCCCAAACCTCTCAGCTGATGGGCAACCGGGAATCAAGAGAAAGCAACCCACTTTTTGGGTGGTCGATTCGCCAAATTGGTAAGTGGCTAGTAGCCTGGGCTGCAACCTACGCCCCCCCAAGTGAGTCATGATCAAACCCCGATATTAAAATGGTCCAAGCCCAGAACCATGTAAAGAATTAAGAAGGCGGCCGCAGCCATTTACGGCTGGGAGTATCCCTTACAAACCTTCATCTACCCGGGTTTTGAGCCCGTGGCTCAAGTGGAAGTGGCCTGGCAAGGCTTCTGCCCAGGTGACTCGTCCCTCGCCTCTGGCACCATTTGCCGGCGTTCCAGCTGGGGTTCGGGGTGTCGCAGCCGCGGGATCCTCTCGCCGACCGATTTTGTTGTTTGCGCAACTGGTGGGAAACAACATGTGTTTTTCAGTCAGGGAGGCGGGGTCGGCTTTGGGGGGGATAGTCTATGGGATGTGTATTTAAAACAAGTATATGTTGGGATGTGTTATAGTCAAAGGTTTTCAGTCAAAAAGCGGGGGTTGGGTTTGGGGGGTATGGTCTATACCTGGAGTCTCCATGACCCTTACAAAATGGTTGGTCATTACCCAAAACAAAGGGGTCACGGACCCATTTTCAAAGGGTCAGAAGGAGACTTCAAGTAGGATGTTTATTTGTATGTGTGCCCCAGTAGTTCTAAAGGTTTAAAGGGAAAACACCTACCTGGAGGGTCCCCAATGTTGAGAAACACTCATGTTGCACAGAACTTAGAAACCCATCGTTTTTGAGAAAACTAACCCCTTGAAAACTGGGCTGTCCTAAGATCCCCTGCTAAAAAATAACTTTTAGTGGGTTGAATGGAAACCCCCACTAAACCTAAAAAGCTGAGGGGACGGCTGGGAACCGCCAAGAAAAGTCATTTGGGGAGCGCCTCCCGCGGCTGGTTTCTCCAAAATGTGCTGCCTGCCCCTCTTGAAAAAAAAAAACGATGGCACGTCCCAAAAGGCGATGGCATGGAAACCCAATGTCTAGGGTTCCGATTCGGCATGAAAAGGCTTGCTTGAGACTCAAACTTGGATGATGAGTTGCTCCTGAATGGCAAGTCATGGTGGTCAATAAACACCAAAACCTCCTGAGGTAAAAATCATGGTGGTTATACTGGCCCCCTTTGCTTCGAGTGTGATAAAATATGAACCCCCTTCGATTTATGGGTGAGATATGAACGCCAGGGCAGCGAGACCACCCCCAGTGGATTTCCAGAAAACGGATCGGCACTCTGCTTGCGGTAGATCCTGAAGCTTAAATTGTAGCAGCGCAAACGTTCCTCGCAACAAAAAAAACGGCCAGAAGTACCTGGAGTCTCCTTCTGACCCTGTAAAAATGGTTGGTCATTACCCAAAATAGAAGGGTCACGGACCCATTTTTAAAGGGTCCTTAGGGAGACTCCAAGTATACATTCCGAGCAGCTTTTGTGTGGCCTTAAGGCATTAATTATCTCTACAATCATCTTGGTCGCTGCAAGGAGCGCGCAGAAATCGAAATGCGAAGCGAGCGGAGAATTTGAAAAACATTGCAATGTCTCGCCTTCCTCCGGACAGATTGACAAACACAAAACGCCCCGCTTTTTCACGGACCGCGCGCGTTTCGAAGCATCGATGCAGAAAAAACATGGCTCGAACCCAGATTGTACGTAACCCAAATTTGTACGTCACACTGGGGGGGCTCCAGGATTTTGAAGGGACACCCTCTCCAAAGAAGAACCAAATGATTCTGAAGGGAAACCCTCTCCAAAGAAGAACCAAATGAAGCAAGCCACTGGAGTCATTGGCCGGAAGCCTATGCACCCCGTTAACTTATCGTGACCTGCGATAACCAGAAACTGCCCTAAATTGGACCTCCAAAAAGTCTGCTTGGGCCCTAGGATGGATTGAGCACACAAGGACCCCTGTCCCTTAGTAAGGCACTGGGCGGTTCCCAAACAAAAGGCCTTACTATGCCTTCCAATTGCTTAAGTCCCCTGGAAAAGAAACATGTTTCCTGTAGTGAAATCGATTCCCTTTAAACCCAACAGGGGAAGCTCAAAACACCTTCACCAAATGGAAGATGTGTTCAGATCCCCTGCTAAAACTAAAAAGCATTTCGTGGGTGAAGTTCGGAAACCCACCCATCAAACCTAAGGCTCAGTTCCTGAGCGGATTGGCCAAGAACAGAAACGGTTTGTTTGCCACTCCAATGGTCATAAAAGTAACTAACATGAACTCAGGAAGGTGAGAAAGGGATGGGTGGACACCACTGACCCCAGTTCCATAATTAGAGCTAGGCTCAATCATAGGATGTATATGTTGTTGTTTGTTTCACTTTTAGTCATTGGTAAGATGTAAAATGTATCCTAAGTCTACCCCTGGTTGCAACCCTCAACGGACTCTTGAAAGGCCATCTGCTTCCTTCTTGTGTGGGACTAGGCGGAGGAACTAGGGTTCATTGGGGGGGGGGTCCCTAGAAAAGCTTCAGCTCCTTCCGCGCCCGGTCCCGGGCCCCTTCCTGGTGCACCACGTCAGGTCGCTGGCTCAGGTTCGAGCCCAGCCTGGCGTTGAAAAGTCTCAACAAACCACTCGAAACCAACCGACACCAGCCTACCGAAAGAGCTTCCCTACTCCTGAGCCCAACATAAGCCCACCTCCCATTCAACATGATTCGCTAGGGTTACCTTCCCCATTCTTTCCAGGCATCCTTCTTTTCAGGAAACCATCAACAACCCAGGGGAAACAGATCCGGTTTTTGAGAAAAGAATGATGGTTCAGAAGAATGGTTGGAATCAACCCCCAGAGTTCGCTTTGATCCATCCCAAAGCTGCCCCTTTGCGGCAAAGCTGAATGAAGTCAATGGTCCCAAGCCTCCTTTCGACCTGGGCCCAACATAAGCCCACCTCCCATTCAACAGTTGGCCATGGGTCAAAATCCAAATCCTACCCCCAGTGAACATCCCAATCCACACTAAAATAGGCTCTAAAATGGGAGGTGCACCTACACCAAAATGGTTCCATTGGTTTTGACCCACAGCCGTTTCACCAACCAGCGAGTTCAACGACAAGATGAAACTATCAAAGCGCCCACTGCCATTTGCAGCAATACTAGGTGCACGGCATTGTTGCATGACCATACGATATATCAGTTCAACACATACCCGCCATTGGCGGAAGGCGGGTTGCTGTTCAAGCGTGCAACGCTATAAACACTCGCGGCTGCTAACATGTTCAAGCACGCTTTAAGAATAAATGTTCTGCCCACCCAGACAAGTACTCGCCACACCTTGCATCTTATCACACATTTCCAGAATCATCCTGAATCTGTACGACCGTGTTTCGTTCGGTTTTAAACCGAGTTTTGATTAAACGCCACCGATCACCCCCCCCCCCCAAGGGTGAGCCTCAGAAATGGCCTTTCAGAAGCACCCCTAAAAACCATGGTGGGCCCAACCAACTGTGCAAACATGTCTAAACCACTATATGGGTCTGGCTTTTTTCAGGGGACCCTCCGAAATTGCCCTTTAAAACCAAACAAAGACACCCCCATATATACCTCAGATGCCCAGTGGCCATAGGACAAAAAACGGCATCCATGTTTGGTTG